AGCAAGTTGAAAGCTTATGGGTAAGAAGAATTAGAGACCGAGGCAACAAAGGGAACCTTGTGGTTGGTGTCTACTACAGGCCCCTGATCAATGGGAGTCTATTGACGAATCCTTCTTACTCCAGCTACAGGAGGCATTGCGCTTGCAGGCTCTCGTCCTGCTGGGGGACTTGAGCCACCCCTGCATCTGCTGGAAAAGTAGCAGGGAGAGCTGTAGGCAATCCAGAAGACTCCTGGACTGCATTGAAGGTAACTTCTTAAGCCAGGTACTAGACAGCCCTACCAGAGGGGTTGCAATACTGGACCTCTTGGTCACCAATGCAAGTGAGCTAATTGGTGGCATCAAGATAGGAAGCAGCCTGGGCTGCAGTGATCGTGCACTCGTGGAGTTTGCAGTCCTGAGGGAATTGGCTCAGATAAAGAGTGAAGTCAGGACCCTGAATTTTAGGAAAGCAGACTTCCAGCTCTTCAAGGAGTTAGTCAATAGGACTCCCTGGTAAACTGCCCTCAGGGCCAAAGGAGCAGAACAGAGCTGGCAGATCTTTAAGGACGCTTTCCATAGAGCACAAGAACTCTCGATCCCCAGGTGTAAGAAATCAGGAAAGGAAGACAAGAGACAGGCATGGCTGAGTGGAGACACCTGCTGGTAAAACTGAAGGGCAAAAAGGAAATGCACAGGCAGTGGAAAAAGCAGGGACTGGTGTCCTGGGAAGAGTATAGGGACGCTGTCTGGTTGCAAAGAGATGGGCTCAGGCAGGCCAAGGCGCAGCTGGAGCTGAACTTGGCCAGGGATGCAAAGAATACTGAGAAGGGCTTCTACAGGTATGTCAGCCAGAAAAGGAAGGTCAAAGAAAGCATACCCGCCTCCGATGAGCAAGACTGGCAAACTGGTGGCAACGAACAAGGAGAAGACTGAAGTACACAACAACTTTTTTGCTTCAGTCTTCACCAACAGCCTCTCTTCGCACACCTCTCGAGTGGATGGACTGCAAGACAGGGGCTGGGGGAGCAAAGTGCCTCCCACTGTAAGAGAAGATTGGGTTCACGACCACCTGAGGAACCTGAACGTACAGAAATCTATGGGACCTGACAAGATGCATCCCAGAGTCCTGAGGAAACTGGCTGATGTAGTTGCCAAGCCTCTCTCCCTGATATTTGAAAAGTCGTGGCAGTTAGGTGAAGTCCCTGGTGACTGGAAAAAGGGAAACATTGCACCCATTTTTAAAAAGGGTGGGAAGGAGGACCCTTGGAACTACCAACCTGTCAGCCTCACCTCTGTGCCTGGGAAGATGGTGGAACAGATCCTCCTAGAAGCTATGCTAAGGCACATGGAGGACGGGAAGGTGATTCGAGACAGCCAGCATGGCTTCACCAAGGGCAAGTCCTGGCTGACCAACCTAGTGGCCTTCTATGGAGTGACTACCTCAGCGGACAAGGGAAGAGCTATTGATGTCATCTATCTGGACTTCTGTAAGGCCTTTGACACAGTCCCCCATAACATCCTTCCCCTTAAAATGGAGAGATAGGGATTTGATGGGTGGGCTCTTTGGTGGATGAGGAATTGGTTGGATGGTCGTATCCAGAGGGTAGCGGTCAATGGCTCAATGTCCAGATGGAGATCAGTGAGAAGTGATGTCCCTCAGGGGTCTGTACTGGGACTAGTGCTGTTTAATATCTTCATCAATGACATAGACAGTGGGATTAAGTGCACCATCAGCAAGTTTACTGATGACACTGAGCTAAGTGCTGTGGTTGACATGCCTGAGGGACATGATGCCATCCAGAGGGAGCTGGACAAGCTCAAGAAGTGGGCCCGTGTGAAAGTCATGAGGTTCAGCAAGGCCAAGTACAGTGTCCTGCACCTGGGTCAGGACAATCCCTGGTACCAGTACAGGCTGGGGTATGAAGGGATTGAGAGCAGCCCTGCCGAGAAGGGCTTGGGGGTACTGGTGGATGAAAAGATGGACGTGAGCTGACAATGTGTGCTGACAGTGCAGAAGGCCAACTGTATCCTGGGCTGCATCAAAAGAAGTGTGACCAGCAGGTCAGGGGAGGTGATTGTGCCCCTCTACTCCACTCTGGTGAGACCCCCCTGCAGTACTGCCTTCAGCTTCCGCAATAAGGACATGGACCTGTTAGAGCGAGTCCAAAGGAGACCACGAAGATGATCTGAGGGCTGGAGCACCTCTCCTATGAGGACAGGCTGAGAGAGTTGGAGTTGTTCAGCCTGGAGAAGAGAAGGCTCCAGGGAGGCTCTTATTGCGGCCTTTCAGTACTTAAAGGGGGCTTACAAGAAAGATGAAGACAAACTTTTTAACAAGGCCTGTTGTGATAGGACAAGGGGTAATGGTTTTAAACTAAAAGAGGGTAGGTTTAGACTAGATAGAAGGCAGAAAATTTTTACAATGAGGCTGGTGAAATGTCCAGAAGTTTCCGAGAGAGGTGGTAGATGCCCCATTCCCAGAAACATTCAAGGTCAGGTTGGAAAGGGCTCTGAGCAACCTGATCTAGTTGGAGATGTCCCTGCTCATCACAGGGGGGTTGGACTAAATGACCTTTAAAGGTCCCTTCCAAGCCAAACTATTCTACGATTCTGTGAAAATGGGATCATAAAACAACAGAGGAAATAGTAATGGTATAATCGAATAACTTAGAATCTCTTTTGTACTTGGTATGTGGTTTCTGTGAGTTTTTCTGGTATAAATGGTGAGGGGGTTGTGTCTTTGACATGAAGAACATACTTAATTTTCTTCTATAATTTTTTTATTTGACATGTCTGTTAAGCTATCAAGTGAGCTGTTGCTTGTATTGGGTAAGACACTATTTGCAATTTTATTTTTGTTTGTATGATGATATGTTCTCTTTTTCCCAGTAGAGAGAAGGTAGACAGCTACTACTGTGTCCTTTTCAATGATGAACACCATTCTTATGATCATGTCATCTATAGCCTGCAAAGGGCACTTGGCTGCGAACTTGGTGAAGCCCAGTTGCATACTACTGCCATAGATAAAGAGGTTAGTGCATTTTGGTTATTGGAGAAAGTTGTTTTTTAATCATTAAGAAGTACTACTGTAGTCTCTTGGTCATAGAATCTTTGTTTCTGGGATGCTGAATCTTGAGGAGAGAGAAAGTCATGTTGCAGAGTAACTGTTAATCAGCACTTCAAGAAAGTTTTTAAATAGTATTCATTTTTTTTCTTCAGGACAATCACCCAGTTTCTTGTGAAAAAGAAGAGCTGATTTATCCAAAGTTGCTCCTTTCATGTTTGGCATATTTTCTTTACCCTTTTTTTTCTCATTGGCTGAGATTAATATTTTATTTTAATAGTATTTGTCTGAAAAATATACAAGTCAGCAATGTGCATATTCAGTTATATTTAATCAGAAATGTACCTTACATTTTGCAAGAGTTAGTGCTTGTTCTGGCTCAGACTTCATTTGAAAATCTTAAAACTTCAAATTAAGCAAATGAAACCAGGAAGAATCCATGAAGGAATGTGAGTGAACCTGACAATTTTACTACTTCATCTTTCAAACTAATGTCCCACGTCCCACCTTACACTAGTAATGTAAATTTTTTTTTCAACTGAGGGAGAAAAAAGAAGGCATGATCAGTGTTTGAGTTATCTTAATTGCAACCATGTTTTTTATCTCACAAAAGTACAAAACTTATGGGTTTGCACACAGAGAAACTTTGTCTATAGCTGTATATCTATTTATTGTATATTTACATATGAAACATCTTACTAATATTAAATTTTTTTTTAATCTGTGAAAACTGGGGGGGTTTTTTGTGTTTCTCTTTGTTCAGGTAATGAAAGTTTAGCTTTATTTAGTTAGTAGTGTCAGTCTTACGTAATTGCAAGTCTTTTCCTGCAGTTGCAGGTTTTATCAAGTATGTGTGTACATGCATGCTTGTAGAGTAACTTTTGAAGGTTTCCACTATGAGGGTTCCTTTTGATTGATACCTAAATTTTTAGATCCAGAGTTGATCGGACTTTTTGTTTTACAAAGCACCTGCTACAGCCCAGGACTAGGTTATATTGTTTTTGTTATAACAGTTCCACAACATACAGCTGCTTTCTCTATTCCTGTGTGAAATTCTGCTCTGTGGAGAACTTGTTTTGGAAGCCTATACCTCTGAGTTGAGTGGAATTTGAGGTCTAAGGTGGACCTGTTCTTGGCTTTATTGGAAGAGCTCTCAAACCCACGCTTATAATATGACCTGCTATTTCATATACAGAAGTAAGAAATAGTAGGAAAGATTGTAGAAAAGCAATTCAGGATGAGTGTACTTTGTGCTGAGAAGAAAGTTGATATGGCTTGTATTTAAAGTATTCTGCAGAAATCCCTCTCACCTGTTTTAATGTATATGTGAATTTTCCTTATCTAATAATATTAAGATACCCAGACTTTACTTTGTTCTATTGTTAATTTAGTTAAAATAGCTTTTATCTGAAGATAGTTATATTAATTTTGATTTTCTTCTAGATGGCTAAAAGCATCATGAATGACGTTGGTCCTTGTTTTTTGTTTATATTTTAACAACATAGCAAGGATCAGGCTTGTGACATTTTGGTTTTGTTTTATATTGGTCTCATGCTCAGTGTTTTCTTTAAACAGGGTCGTAGAGCTGTTAAGGCAGGACATTATGCCTCTTGTCAGGAAGCAAAAGAAGAAATCAAGGTAACTTCCTAAAACATTTTTCTTATTTAAAAAACCCAAACAAATCAACCTCATCATTATTAATACTGAAGACTTATTTGTCTGCTGTACAACCTTTAAATTACTACTTCCATGCTTTTATAACCTGCCTGTGAACTTTTTGAAATGGAATTTACCCACTACATTTGGTATAGATAAATAGATATCTTCAGAAATAAAACATCAAACTGATTTCTTTTCTTGCTTGGGAGAGGTAAGGGGTGGTGAAGACAAATATGAAAATTCATATTATCTTTATTTTGTATCTACTAATATTTACCTGACTCCTAGAGGCATTCTGAAAATGTTTCTCAACGACCACTTCATGTGGAGGTACTGCATGCTGATGTTATGGCTCACCAGAAGTTTGCCTTGCGCCTTGGTTCTTGGCTGAACAAACTCATGAGTTATTCAAGTAAGCATAACTGATTTTTGTTACGATAATGCCGTGACACTATTTGAATGATAATTCTCTCAAAAAATGTCTTTAGCAGTGTTTCTATATGATATTCCCTTATTAAAATACTTTCACATTCCTCCTAATTCGTAAGTAAATGATACAGTACTACGGGTGCTGATATCCATCAGTATGGTTATGAATAGCAGTACTTTTCTGTTCCTTCTTGCTAAAATAAATGTCTTTCCCTGATTGAGCTCTGTCTGTTCCTCTGGAAGTTTTATTGTCCTCAGTTTCAGCATCACATGCCCTATTTCAGTGACTTTGTTTAAAAGCTGCTCCCTCCAGTGCTGGTGGAAAGCTGCAGAACATCCCCATCAGTGAAAGCATGCATCCTCTACTTGAATCAATTCCTGCTTCAGATTTGGTAACTGTGATTAATTAGACAGTATCAGTAAAGCAAACAAACAAAAGCCTTAATTTAGAAACTTGTCCAGTAGTGGAAAGTCTATTTCAAGCTTTCAGACCTTGTTCTAGTGTTTGATGATCATAGTTTCAAAGAAGACTTCTGAATCAATCTCACTTTGGTTTCTGTTACTGGGTTTTGTCATACCTGTGTGTTGCCAAACTAATGCCACTATAAAATTTCTTTTCAAAGTACAAATATGCATAGATTAAGCTCTACTCACTGCTTGTCCTCCTTCTTGATAGGGTAAATGTGTTGGTCTGCTTTAGCCTCTTTTCTAAGCTTGGATAATAAAGTGAATTTTTAATCTTTTTTTCTGAACACTTACTTTCAAATCTTTCCCTTGAAATACATATATTGGAATTGTACCTTTTTGTAATTCTTTACAATATTTTACAGATTTTAGCTTTCTGTTCTTTTCAACTTTGTATTTATTTCGCTGATGGTATTTTCTTTCTGTCTGAGTTCCTGAGACAGTTCTTTTAATCAGTACAAATTTTTGACTGTGTGGCTTGTTTCTAGTGAAAGCTCAATTTTTATCCACGTTTTTCTTCCTAGATAATGTTTCTTACTATTTTCAATTTTATGAGATTGCTGTATTTAAAACATGAGCTGACAGCTAATTGTTCAGCTGTTGACTCTGTGTGAGTATAAACAAGTTGGTGTTGGTGCCCCAGTAAATCACCAAAATTTTAGGTTTTCAAGCATTACCTTTTTAGCTGATGAGATAAGCTAAAACTAAAAAGGAGTCTCCTATGTTGGCTGTAGCATTTTGGATTAGGAAGTTGTTACAGGTTAACTGGTACTTTAATGTGTTTTATGAGAGTCTTCAAGCACAAAGACTGAAGTCTAATATTCCTGTTCATGTTCTTCTGGACTATATACGTAGATGCTTTAAGAGCCTGATGTTCTGTACTCAGCTGGAACTTCTTGGTGGTCTGGTGGTTCCTGTTCTTTTCCTGGTTTTGCTTCAAGTGGTAAAACATGGATCAAGAAGCATTCAATACTATTAATTTCCAGGTTGTCAGAAACTTGATTCATGACACTCCACTTTTCCTTTTGAAATTAGTAAAGTAAGAGCTCATGTCTGAATGTTAGTAACCTGTAGATTACTCTGATATGTTGATCCCCAAAACTGCTTCAGCAAGTATTGTGTTTACTGATAGGTGCAAGAAAATAGAAAAATAATTTTCTGAAATTCTACGAAAGCCTGACTTTCAGGACCCAAGGCAGGGACTAGCATGGACTTGCCTAGCCTGTGCATTTCTGTGCTGACATAGTGAACTCTTCTTACGGATCTGCTTTGCAAAGCCGTCTAAATGCTTTTAATTTTAAAATACTCTTCTACCTCACTGGATTTCTTAAGTAAAGTAGGCAAGAATAATAAGAAGAAATTAGCAAGGGGAGAGTATGTGGGAGTATGTTTGCTGAGAAAAAGCACTGTTAAAAATAATTCATACTTAAGTGCCTTGTTTTTGTTTTCTTTAAAAGAACAGAATTCTGTAATTCTCACTTTGTTGGCTCATATCATTTAATTATCGAAGCATTCTTGTGCAAACCAGTAGTTTTATACCTATAGGTGACTTTCGCAAGATCTTTTGTCAAATATGTCTGAAAGAAGAAGCTGGATCTGAAAAGCCTTGCTTCATAAGCAAGTTGATGCTGTGGGATGCAAAACTTCATAAAGGTTTGTGTGTCCATGTTGCTGTAAACCAAAGAAGCAAATTAATTTTTGATGTGTGTAAGAAATGTGTAAAAGTAAATAAGTGCTATGCAGGTGGAGTTACATTTCTTTATAGTTCTTATATTATGTTTTTTATACAGCCTTTATTTTTATGGCTGAGACAGTTGATGTTTTGGATAGATATTTGCCTCCTAAATTTTTCCTGCTTTATGTATTTTGAAGAATGTTTTCACAAGATGTAACCTGACTATGAGTGACTTGATGCTTGCCCTGTGTTTTAAATACATACCAATAAATGTTAAAAAATTTAAAAAATTAATAACTTTGTTCATATACTTTGTAACTAAGTCAAGGCTTTTAATGATTTTTAATTATAATTTGATAATCTATTCCTCTTTTCCACAAAAAGCTGTGTCTTAGTATGATAGTGACATGCATTGTATTGACTCTTCCCAGGGGCAAGGAAGGTTCTTCATGAACTTATCTTCAGTAGTTTTTTCATGGAAATGGAATACAAAAAACTTTTTGCTATGGAATTTGTGAAGGTAAATGGTTATTTGTTTTTTTTTTTTTTTTTTATGCTGGGAATTTTTACTAGCTTTGTAAAATTTCCCCCAAACCAGAAAATTGTTTCACTATAAATAATGAATTTTCAACAAGCAGAACTTCAACAGCTAGCTCAGCCTTTATAGAGTGTATTAATTCCAATGTCATTGATTTGTTCCTTATAATCATGTAGTGTTATATGCTCATTTTGAATGCAGTATTAGTATTCTGTGTATCTTTTGAAATGGCAGATGAACTGCAACTGAAACTGGTCTTTGTTTTTAAAATTAGATACAATAATTAAGAAATATACAAAACATAAGACCAAGTGGTTTTTGTTTTAGGGTGAGACCTTTAATCCTGATAAAGGTGACTGACACCTCATGGTTTTCTCTGGATTGAAACAAAGCAAACAAAGATTTAACATTACTCATCGTACAGACCTTTTATAGACCGCTGTTGCATAACTATCCATGCAGTTCACTGCAGGAGGAAGACTTGTTTTATAATAAGTCAGTGACTTGACTGAACCTTTTTTCAGATATTTAATTTCTTTTCTTGGGGGAGATTGGTTGTAGGAGAAAAAAATATTTTGGTTCCAGTTTGGCAGAACAGTTAAATTTGTGTTCGTCTTCAGTACTAAGGCAATGGGGCACATTATTTATTTACTTTGGTGCATTGAGGACATTGTGCTGTTTTTGTTGTTTGAACCACTCCATTAGAAAGGAAGACGGACATTGAGATGTAATTCTTGCAAATAAAAAAGTAAATGTTTTTAATTAATACTTGTTTTATTTATTTTATTCCCCCAATATTCTCTTTTCCTAGTATTACAAGGCATTGCAAAAAGAATACATCAGTGATGATCATGACAGAGTTCTCTCTGTGACAGCGCTCTCAGTTCAGATGTTCACGGTACCTACTCTGGTATGTACAGCCTGTCTCTGCTAGAAATGTAAAATAAATTTGAGAATTGCTAGCAGTACCACTTTTGCAGACTGCTGTACTTGGCAGAGAGTTTTTATGCATTGCTGAGATGAAAATGAATGATTTTGAGATTTGTTAAGGCCAATATGAAAGCAGGAGATTGAGTTTATATGAAAAGTCATTACAGAAGACAGAGGGGAATACAAATAGTAGAAGTTTTAGGCAGCATCGTTCTCTATGTTAATTTTCTGTATTCATTTACTGATGGTGTGGCTGAAATATGTTAAATCCGGGGGGGGGGCGGCTATGGTGTGTGGAAAGTATACCTGTAGGTTTTAAAGGTTATATGTTTCTTGCCTGAAATACTAATTTAAAAGTCCTTTTCTACATGATCTTTCTAGAAAAAATAGCATGTCTGTTACATTGAAGCTGTCAGGGTGAACAAACATGCCAAGCTGATAGAAATTGTGTTAATGCATAATAAATACTATGGGAGTTTTCGTAGCTTGGACTTTTTACAAATGCTTGAAGTAATTTCTAATCAAAAAGACTGGATTGAAAGGAAAAAATATTTTGACAGTTCTCTTGAACAAAAATAGGAAGAAAAAGTTCTACTTTTCTTCTTGCAGGCCCGACATCTTATTGAAGAGCAAAATGTAATCACCACCATTACAGAGACACTCATAGAAGTGCTTCCAGAGTACCTAGACAAAAATGACAAGTTCAACTTTCAAGGTTACAGTCAAGACAAACTGAACCGGGTATATGCAGTAATATATGACCTCAGGTAAGTGTAAAGCTGAGAAGGTAGAGCAATTCTTAGAAAACTGGCAGTAGGATGAGGTGTTTCAATTCAGGAATCTGATGATAAAACTATTTTATAAACAAAGACAAAACTAAATCCCTCACAAGAACACACGTAAACTGTTAATGTTTTATTTTTCAGTGGAAACTTAAAATTTTCAAATATCAGAGTTATATTATATGAAGACAACTTTTATTTTCACTGATACCATTCCATATAACCATTGCATTAATATACAAAATATATTTACTGTAAGACTGTATGGGAAATTTGGCTTCTATTCACTACCGTTCTGGGAAAGCTGTATAATCCTCATCTGCATAGCAATTTCCACTCTTACAGGTCCCAAATTACTCTAATAAACCAAAAAATGTGAAAGCAAATACCTTGAAATTAAAAAAAATCTGTTAATTTCAAATGATGGAGTTGCACCAAGCAACTCCAGTGTTTAGTGAAAATTTTAAGAAGAGTTTGAGATGTGGAGGGTGATGCAATGTGATGATGCAGTTGATTATTTTAATACAAAGGTCACTTTAAATACAACCATAAGCAGAAGGGAAGTCCGAGCAAAAGTTGATACTGTTTTCTTTGGGGACAGGTATGTCTTAGTCAGCAAACCTACATTATGGACAGACCGTCTGAGGGAGCGGTTTTTAGAAGGATTTGTTTCTTTCCTAAGGATTCTGACTTGCATGCAGGTACAACACATTTAAATAATTTCTTTCTAATATGCTGTTATAAAGATATTACAGCATTTTTGTTTGCTCATCTTTTTGTCCATAGCAGTATTGTGGATATAAACATACAATTAAGATGGTAAATTCTTCAACTCCTCTCTTGGGTGGGTGAGAAAGTAATGTTTATTTTACAGAAGTAATATTCATCAATTTTAGCTACATGTATCTGAACAACCTATATTTTACCATTTGTGTATGGGATTTTATGTTATTTTAAGCCTATGATCACTGATTTAGCTTGAGCGTTTTGTGGCATCTCCATTTCAGGGAATGGAGGAGATAAAAAGACAGATTGGTCAGCACATTGAGGTGGACCCTGACTGGGAAGCAGCTATTGCTATACAGATGCAGCTCAAGAACATTCTTTTGATGTTCCAGGAGTGGTGTGCCTGTGACGTAAGTATATCAATTGTCTGGGGTTCTTACATGTGTGCCTTTTGTGGATATTCCTGAGTGATTTTTAAATAGCAGCTTTTTAAAAAAGCTCACTATTATTCAGTATAGTTCTCCACAAAAAATGAGTCTGAAAGAATTAATCTGTGGTGTGACAAGGAGAGAAGGGGTCTCAGAAGAATATAATCTTCTAGCTGGCAAAGCTGCATACGCTGTCAGGCAAATCATAAAGAGAAACTACTTCTCATAATTCAAGATTTTGAGAATTAGGTTCATGATATTACGGTCAAGTTTTAAGTTTTTGAAGCACATGGTGTTCATTTTTCATTGTGAAAGTGGACTGCAGAAACTTTGTGCTAATTGGGTAACTGCACTGTAAGTAGTCTTTATCAGTGCTGGAACTCATACCTGAGCTGGGAGAAGGGTGGAAATTGTGCAATTTGTTAACTTAAAGAAATTTTGAAGTGAGTTTCTTTTTGGTTTGTTGTTTGTTTGTTTGTTTGTTTTTCAGTAAGGAGAGAAAGGAAGAACTACAGCAGTTGAAGAGCTTCTTGATCGAATTTGGGTTGCAAAACATTACAATTTTGCAGCTTAAATAAGTACATAGATTTTGGAGCATTTGACACAGCAGCTTTTTTAAGCAGAAGCATGTTCTCGGTTAGCTTTAGGGGATACCCAACTGCTCCAGTCCAGTACTTCTCAGTATTAAGAAACAGAGTAATAATTATATTGTGGATTCTAGTAACTGTTTATGCGGTCAGAAAAAACAAGTGAGAAATTTTGGTGCACATATATATGACTTTTAAATATAATGCTATGCATTTATTCGAAATTCTAGGAAGAGCTGTTGCTCAAGGCCTACAGTGAATGTCATAAAGCTGTGATGAGGTGCAGCATAAATGGCCGCTCACGGGAAAAGACGGTGTTTCACTTGTGTGGCCATACTCTGGAGAGCAAACCTTACAGAGTGTCTGCAGATCCTGTCAGCATACATTTACCACTGTCTAGGACTCTTGCTGGTAGGTCATGTGTTTTGTTTTGATTGCTGTTTGAATTACGTTTCTCATCCATCTCTGTTTCTTTACTCTAGAAAGCATTTAGATGAAGTGCTTCACAGATCAGTCTCTCTCTGACTTTCTGACATTCTCATGGTCAGGCAACCCTGTTCCCCAAATGTCCCAGTAAGGGAAAGTTTTTCTCAAAAACACATTTGTCATGGAGGTTGGATGACATTTTTTAAACAGGAGAAAGATAAGGTCAGGCGAGAAGGGAAAGTTTCATGTTTTAATGAGATCTTCAGTTTTCTCTGAACTACTTGAATTTATGTGGTTCTGTTTCTATTTCTACCCCTTTTGCCTACGTGAATGTTCATTATTCCTGTATCTCAAATTTATTTTCCAGCCACGTGTACTTTAGGACTGTTAAAATGCTCCTCCTAAAAGAAATGTATTTGCAGCATGCCAGAACAGATTTCCGGAATAAAAAGGACCACAGTAGTGGGTGATCGCTGTTTTCTCTAGAATCCAAATGAAATCATATGTTATTATTAAACTGTAGATTCTTTATGACATCATTTGATACCAAGATACCATCTGTTAAGCCTTGCAGTCTTGAAATTCAGTTATTACTGACATATGATTTAAAATTTTGCTAATACTATTTAGCATTTCAATTTAAATGGTTTTAATGAATTCATGAAATGAATAGATTTATTCATAAAATAATGGATTGTAAGACTGGTGAGAACTGTTGTGATAATGTAATAGATCTATCTTTAAAAAACAAACCAACCCAAAACCAAAAAACCAAGTATTTGCTAAATAAGCTTTGACTTTTTTCTGTAATTCTGAGTTTAGATGATTTAGCTAATGTTTAGAACGGGTTGGAGGAGAAACTTTACTGATTTTGATTTATTTTCTAATTTTTTTTCTTATTGCTTTTGTAGGTCTTCATGTACGATTAAGCAAGACTGGAGCCATCTCGAGATTGCATGAGTTTGTTTCTCCTGTAAGACTTTTTTTTTTTTTTCTACTTTCCCAAATGCATCTTGTGATTTTTATATTCTGGGAAGGGAAAAGCCTAAAATTATATCCTGTAACTTTCATGGCACACACACAAGTTCTTTTGCAGCTGACAATGTGTCTTTGTTCATTAGGACTTACACTTGTAAAATTACTGACAGACTTATTCTTGCTTGTTTTTTTTCTTTTTTTTCTTTTTTTAAATTCTAGGAAGCATTTCAAGTGGAGCTGCTAGTAGAATATCCTTTGCGGTGTCTTGTTTTGGTTGCTCAGGTTGCTGCAGAGATGTGGAGAAGGAACGGGCTCTCCCTGATAAGCCAGGTACTCCCTGCAATATTCAGTTGATCCTAATGGTGTATGTAAGTGTTTCTCAGTGATGATCCCAGAGGTGGTTTCACCCAGTGCAGATAAAGGTCATGGGGGTCACCCCTACACTAAATAGAGGGGTTTCTAGGTGGGAATTTAGATTACTTGGTTTTATTTCCAGCTTCATCAATGTCTTGCCTCCCTGTATTAGACAAGTATTTCATCTCTCTTACGACTGTTTCTGACTCTGTGAAATGGTATTAATGTTACTGACATCTACTGGAAACAACTTTCAGATCTGATAAAGAAATCACTGCATAAATACTAGAAGTACTGTTGCTTCTAACATAAAATGTTAGAAGAATCTCTTTGTGCATGGTAATCATTATATGCAAAAGTTAAACTATTTTAATCTCATACTAAACTTTGAGTGCCATATAACCGGACATAAGCATTTTATAATACTTGCGGGCTTTTTTTTGCAAGAGTAAAGATAAAAGGAAGAGTCTACCTGTAAGTACTTGTATTTTGCCTGCTTTGGCTTCACTTTTTTTTTTTGTAGTTGACAACAGAAATTTCCTGTGTTTAGCTTTCACAGGACTCTAGTGAAATCAAAGTAAATATTGGTAACTCCCTATAAAATTGTCTCTCTGAGAACTGGGGTAGGAGAAAGAGGATATTTTGACTTTAATATGTAGCGGCCATTAGAATTACGTTGTCTTGGAATGGAGTATGAAGAAGTATGGCATAGACTTTTCTCTGGATAGGTGAAAAAAAGTTTTTCACTTCCATCAAAGTAAACATTTGTTTTGAAAGAAACGTGAGACTTTCCCTTACTCAATGAAGGTGCTGTACAGTTTAAAAAAGCCTCAGACATTATGTGGTGCACATTTGATAATGCGTTACTTTACTTCTCTACTTAAATTTGTTTTCCTATTTCTCAGGTATTCTACTATCAAGATGTTAAATGCAGAGAAGAGATGTATGATAAAGACATCATCATGCTCCAGGTAAAATGTTCTGAATCATTGCTTGCTTGTCTCATAACATTTTCATGGAATTTCTTTTAATTTGAATTAAATTTGTATGATTTAAAAAATTTTTCTTGGTAAAAAAGTATTTTTCATAATTAATGAACAACTGTGATAGTAACTGATGTTCATATTAGTTTGGGCTTTTTGATAGATAGGTGCATCTCTTATGGATCCAAACCAGTTCCTTCTGCTGATACTGCAGAGATACGAGCTTGCTGATGCTTTCAAAAAGATCAAGCCCACCAAAGATCAGGTAAGCGGCAAGTATTGGAATTCATTTGTTTGCTTTATGGAACATTAATAAGAAAAACTAACTACTGTTGATAACTGCATTTTTACAACCACACTGAAAGTCAGTCAACACAGGACCTAGTGGTTAGATAAATGATTTTGCATTCGAAATTTATAGAGGCTTACTCAGAATTAGCAAACAGGTTTTGCCCTCTTTGACCTTTCTTTCACAGGGCTTCTACCAAAATTCATGTAAATGACTTTTCTGTAAAATTTCGGTACCTCTTAGGCTGTATTATGTGTTCTTATTTTGGCAGGAAGTTTCTTGGGTGGTTGTGCTGCTTCCTGAGGCTTGAACTTTCATGTAACCCTTCATTTGGGATACGTTTTTAGCTGTTGTTTCTTTTCTGCACATGAATCTTGCACTTCAGTTGCAGAATAACATCTCTACAAGTGCAGGCGCTTTTTCCAGCTTGTTAGAATGGAGGTTTCTTCTTAGAGTACACTGCATGTGAAGGCTGAGCTTGGTGTCATTAGACAGATTTTCCTGCTTGCTTTTTTTTAAAAACAGATTTCCCTAATTCTTGTAGGATTTGATCAAACAATGTAATGTGTTAATAGAAGAGATGCTACAGATTCTCATCTATGTTGTGGGTGAGTTTCATTTCTCTCTGTTGTTGTAGTAATGGATTGTTACAGTTTGACAAAACAGACTTGATGACTCTCTTTAACACTGATGGTATGGAGAGGATACTGGAGGATGCCTATTTTAAATAGATGGTTCAGTAACACAAATATCTGTCAACTGGAAGCAATAGGCATTGCATAGTGAAAAAAGCTGTTGGATAACTTCATAATTGTCTATTAAAGTAGAATATGAAGAGAAACTCCATCTCATCCCATTTTATTAGGAAGCTAGGCTTAACATTTTTCCTCTCAAAAACGGGATAGGTTTCTGGCGAATGCAAACATATACTATGAAATATGCCAGCAATAGCATCACCTCTGTGCAGAATTCAAAATTGCTTTGTAACTGTCATATTTGCCATTCTTCTCCTTTTAATTCACTCTGGTAGGGGAAAGATACGTGCCTGGAGTGAGTAATGTGACAAAAGAAGATGTTACCATGAGAGAAATCATCCATCTGTTATGTATTGAACCAATGGCTCACAGTGCAATTGCCAAGTCCTTGCCTGAAAATGTGAGTCCTGGTTTACTTTTTTCCTTAATTTACTTTTTCTTGGTTTATGTCTTTTTCTTCTTTAGCTTCCGTATCTTTGTATGGAAACATTTTATTTTTCATATAAAGGTCAAATGTTGATTCAGAATTACAAAATAGCATGACAAAGGAGCTTACACACCTTGCTGATGTAAAGGTAAATGTCATGGATTCTAGTATAGTCTAATCTGGAAAGGTTTGTATGGGGATTGTGTTTTTTGGTGAAGAGGTGGAATTTTTTAGAATATTCAGCTGTAGTTCTCCTAGACTCAAGGAAAAGTTTTAAAATTATTTTCTCTTTCAGCCCTGTAGGACTATGCAGCTGGATTCCATTCTGCCCTGTGTACCATCAGTAAATTTGATCCTGTAATTTTGATCACTTAAACCTGTGCAGATCTACTGCAAGTAAAGTATTGTACAGGCCCATTTGAAAGAAAGATTTTCCTGCCATTCTATTCCAGCTGTTGAAAATTCAAGCAAAGGAGAGGGATGTAGATTAGATTTTATAGCCTGTGCAAGTTTTCAGGGCTGGCAATCAATGCAAAAAAACTTCAGTCTTATTGTAAATTAAATGGCCTGGAATATTATCAGAAACAAATAATGGGTGATCCACTCCATTGAGTATTGGGTAAGGCACTGCTCTGTTTCTGGAGATTGGCTCTGCTACAAATAAAATTTTACATAGTTACATGAAAGTATTATCTGTCTTTGGTACTTCCTGGTAATTTGTCAGTTATGAATATCTGCCTTCTGAATAACAATGGGCAAGATATATTAATTCATGAATTAGGGAATTGATCTAAGTCTGTATGTCTATCTTTGTGACACCTAGCATAATACTGAAGATATTTGAATCATTATATATTTATCCCGAACTAAATTTTTTACCAGGAGAACAATGAAACTGGCTTGGAGAATGTAATTGATAAAGTGGCTACGTTTAAGTAAGTTCTTAATATTGTTTTATAAGTAGATTCAACGTGAAATAAGACTTCTTAGATTTTATGGGTTAAACAAACTGCACTGCAAAGTATCTGTTCAACTGATATCTTGCTGTCTTGAAACAGATACACTTTCAAATACACATAGGAAAGTGTATGAAATATCCAAAGCTGCTGCTTCTCTCCTTTTGTCCCTCTCTTTCTTCAAATTCAGCTTGAGTCTTTTCAGGAGTTCAGTAACCTCAAGTCCTAGTGGGAAAAACTTGAAAAGTTCATTTTATTTCAAAGATGGTTGGGAACCTTAATATGTACCTTTGACAATTGCCGCCTAATCATTAATTTAGATGTTACTTAGTTGCTAACTTGCTGTAACTTTCAGATGGGAATTAATTTTTTTAACATATATTTGCAAATATAGAACAATCAATTGTAGCAGCTGAGGAAAAACTAGTTCAAATGTCTGCTGTTTTTGTCACAAAAATGTCTTGTAATTTTAATTATTTTAATTTTTAAAAAATATATACAAATA